AAAATAGGAATTTGAAAAAACATGCGACGTTCGAAAGAGGATATTCTAATCTGGCTTACCGAAAAAAACGTTTAATGGGGAAATCGATATGCTTCACAAAAAAGAATATGTTCCATTGTAACCTTCTTCAATGTTGAAAATGTTTAATAGGCATATAATCTTAGTTGACGAAGACAAAGGAAAAATTTTGAAGATTCTACTTAATTTGGCTTAGATTTTTCGTACCGTTCTTTTGGACACTATATCTCCTTATTTGCATTTCTGGAAGATTAAGTAAAAGGATAATAAAGAAATGTATCCTATAATAGATAGAATAAAACAATTACCCGAGGATTAGCAACAGTAACTACATCGTGTTTCACATTTTAATCTCATAGGAATTGTGCTAATAACTGTTTGTTTTTCTTTTATTAGTATATTAGCGTATCGTTCGGTTGATATTCGTAAATCGTTACAATTCGAAGAATTAGTTGTTCGTGAAGAACTTGAATATTTAATTGAAGAAGAAGTAGCAAAATTAACAATACATAGTTGGCTTAATAAATGTTTAAAATGTATTAAAGCAAAAGATCAAACAAATGTTAGTAAAAATTTACAATGTAGTAATGAATTAGCATTTTTTCGTGAAGCACAAGCAATAACAATATACGAATCATTAAAAAGAACAACAGATAATGTAGGCAGTGAAGAAGAACGACGAATAAAAAATCGTGATGATCAACAACAACAACAAATACAAAAAGATGTTGTCAAAGATAAACTTGATAGGACAACTACATTACCAATACCTTCAAATGATTTCAATGTAGAATATCGATCGATTTTCTTTTTTATTCAATATCGTTTTCTTTTTAGAATTCAAACTATCGAACACAAGCAGGTATACGTAATACACCTATTGAATCTAAAGGAGTACGACGGTCAATGTCACAACAATTACAACAAAATGTTAGTTTGACTTTAAGTAGTGATGAATCTTATCGATGGCGTTCATGGCAAACAAGTAATTTTAAGCATGGGCGAAAAGATGTTGAATCATGGTGGACTAATCAATTTCAAATGTCAACTTAAAGCAACAAAAAGAAAATAAATAAATCTATATTTCCGAATAGATTATATTCAAAATATTGCGGTGATTTATGTGCGCTTGGTTTGTCTCGTATAATATATGAATCCGTATTATTGTAGTGTGGGTGTGGTGGATGTGGGTGTGGGTGTGGGTGTCATTTACGAGAGAATATCCAACACCCACACCCATACCCACACCCCACACCCACATCCACACCCACACCCCACCCTGCTTTCTGAAGTGATTTAGTTTGACTAATTATGTAAAATAGAATTTGGTATTGTTTTATTTAAAGAATATTCATTAGATCATTATTTATATGTCATTTTCTAGGAATAATTATAAAGTTAAGTTATCATAAGTTTATTTTAACATAAGATAATGATTAATTATTATTTGGGCATGCAATTAAAATTATTGAAATATATTTAATAATGGATATATCATTATGATTATTATTAAACTATTGTTGTCAAGAACAAGATAATAAACACAAATAGATTATATTTGTATTATATAGAGGATAAATTTATTGATAAAGATAAATATCATTTTATATAAACTGAAAATAGAATAATAAAAAATAATGATAATCTTTGAAACTGTATAAAGGTTATTTCTTTTTCTCCTAATTAATATTCTTATAAGAAAAGATGATTCTATTGATTCTACATGTATAATTATAATGTTTAAGAGAATAATTATGTATTATAACTGTTTGAAACTAATTAAGACAAACAACTAATTTATATTCAATGATGAAAAAAATAAAACGTTTTTATGTTTTCGTGATTTGATGAGTATCAAAGAGCTATGTCAAAATGTCAATCATTGAAAACAATCTCTACTTGTGTATTTTCGAAATTAATCATGTTTCATTTGATTATTTTTCTCCTAATTTCATCATAAAACTTTATCGTATTTCGATATTATATAAATAGATTGATTATTACTAACCAATCATTTATTTATTATAAATATTATGTTACTTTGATATTTATTTAATAGAAAATCTTAAGTTTTTCTTAAATTAACAATATACTATAGATTGATGAAATAATCGAAAAGTTGGGTGTGGGTGTGGGTGGGAGTGGGTGTGGGTGGGAGTGGGTGTGGGTGGGTGTGTGGGTGGGGTGGGTGTGGGTGTGGGTGGGTGTGTGGGTGGGGTGGGTGTGGGTGTGTGGGTGTGGGTGTCGGTTATTCTTCTTCAATCACCCACACCCACCCATACCCACACCCACACACCCACACCCTCACCCCACCCACACCCACACCACACCCACTCACACCCACACCCACACCCACCCACACCCACACCCAGAAATAGTGGCTTTAAGGTTATCATATAGAATCGTACAAGATCTTGTATGACTTTCATACGATCTTATACAATCATACAAGATCTTACATTAAGATCGTGTATATTCTTGTAAGAATCGTATAAGATCTTATCGTCAGATTATTTGACCTGGGTAGTGTTTGAATACGTTTTTCACTGAATGTTTTTGAACGAACATTTTTTTCATAAGTTTTCACAGCAATCTATACCCAAATTCTAGCCTAAAACGACCTTTATTCTTGGTCAAATTTTTTATATCTCTCTATAGTTTATTTGAGAAACAATATTTCAAGGCTACAGTTTTAAAATATGAAAATTTTACCAAAAATAAAAGTCGTTCTAGGCTAGAATTTAAACGTAGATTACTGTGAAAACTCACGAAAAAAAAATGTTCGTTCAAAAACATTCAGTGAAAAACTTATTCAAACATTAGGAATTTTATATAGATAGATGTCCTTTCACTTGCTCCTTCTAATACTGAAAATCTAAGCTCGATAGTCATAAGTGAATTGAGAGTTATTTGTGGAGGCTATTTTAAAAGAAAAACATCCAATATAATAATTCTCTATTTGATTGTGTTAAATTGACTAACGAATAATTTACTATAAAAAGATTCTTGTTGAAATGAAGAAAAGTCATGATGAAAGTTAAGTATGGACGAATAGATCTTCTGTTTCTAGTCTCCTAAGGTAATCATCTTCTCTCCTCGAATTCAAATAGAAGACAAAAATTTGATATTTGTTCCTTCTATAGCACTAATACTTATTATCATTCTACATTACTTTTTTTACAAATAATAAAGTAGCGTAAAAGCATTAGAAATATAATTTCTCGACGAAGTACATTAGTATATTTATGTTTAGTAATTTTCTTACTGTAATATCGCGAATAAGGTCAACATGACAAATAGGTGATAATTCAGTTTTGTCTAATAGAAATTGTAAAATATTGTCTTCATTTTTGACATTAATTATTCCTGATACATCATAATTGTTCTTCTGTGTACTTTAATAAAATAAAATAATTTAAATAGTGGCATTCGATGAATGATGAATCCTCTTGCAGTCTTATGACCGATTAGAGGAACTATGAATTGACAAATTGAATGAATTTGGATACGAATAGCATGCTAGTCCCGAAGCAAAACATCGAGTGATCAATATAGTTTTATTGTTTGAAAATTATTTCAAACACAACCAATATCACTCTAAAAAAAAACGTATTCTCGGAAACTTATAGGGGGTTTCCGGGTTTGTTCCTATATGAACCGCTTTATAGGTTTCCGAAAAAGGGTTTCCGAGGTTTCGGAAACTTATCGGAAACTCTTAAAAGCTATTAAACGAGCTGAAGGTCTCGGAAACCTAGAGTAGGTTTCCAATACTTTTGCAACCTTTGATCCGTTTTCTACTACTCCCTACAAACAAGGTTTCACGCTGAACCTTTTACAGTTCCAGATTTTGATATCATTTTCTGAAGCAATAGATGGCCTATTATATTCGGGTTTCCCCTGCAATATCTTCAGTCAACCTCAAAATATGGTTCAGTTCACTCTTAAAAACAGTGCACTTAACATAGAAAATCCGGTGCCTTTCATAGCGTTAATGCTTTGCATGAAGCCTTCGCTGAGCGAAATAATGCAAGTGGTCCCATACCCAGGTAAAAATTTTTGATTAAAAATTTGATTAAAAATCGATTAAAATGGCACGATTTTATCAGATTTTAATCGGATTTTTTAGGCTCGAAGACGGATTTTATTTGATTTTAATCTTTTTTAATCTATTTTAATCGATTAATAAACCTAAATCAACTAAAATCGATTTTGATAATTAGTTTTAACTGATTCAAGCTTATTAATCGATTAAAATAGACTAAAATAAAATAAAATCAATCTTCAAACCTAAAAAATTCCATTAAAATCTGGTTCAAATCGTGACATTTTAATCGATTTTTAGTCAAATTTTTATCAAAATTTTTTTACATGGGTAACAGCGATAACGAGTTCTACCGGGCTCCAAGCTATTATTACAACCACGTTCATTATTGCGCCCTTGCTGACATCCCACGAGTTGAAAAAAATATACATACTCTTTGTCTATCGATGATTCGGCTGTTTCTCCTAAGAAACTTCACAAAAGGCTACACGAAACCACACGTGGTACTCGATCAGTAAATAATTAAACACCAATTCACACGCACCTCAAACATAGGTAAACGAATTTATGCTAGAAACGAAACTTCCAATTTTGTCGCTTTCAATCTAAATGAATAAAAAGAAGGTCTGTTGAACAAAAATAAAACTTACCATTCGGTCATCCATATGAAATGCCTAAATAAAGAAAGAAATTAAATTGATTCAAGAAAATAAAACTTACCGCTGTATTGCATTTGACGAATCTAAACAAAAAAAAGACAGATATATTAAGCAAACTGAAACTTACCATTCTATCATTCATATGAAATACCTAAATAAAAAAAGAAACTAGATTTACTCAAGAAAATAAAACTTACCACTATGTCTTGCACTTGATGAATCTAAACCAAAAAAAAGATAGATATAATAAACAAAATGAAACTTACCATTCTATCATTCATATGAAATACCTAACTAAAAAAAGAAACTAGATTGACTCAAGAAAATAGAACTTACCATTTTGCCATTCATATGAAATATCTAAATAAAGAAAGAAATTAGATTGATTTAAGAAAATAAAACTTACCACTATGTCTTGCATTTGATGAATCTAAACAATAAAAAGATAGATATATTAAACAAAATGAAACTTACCATTCTATCATTTATATGAAATATCTAAATAAAAAAGAAATTAGATTGTTTCAAGAAAATGAAACTTACCACTATCTTTCATCTGATGAATCTAAACGAAAAAAAGATAGATATACTAAACAAAAAGAAAGTTAGCATTCTATCATTCATATGAAATACCTAAATAAATTTGATGAATCTAAACGAAAAAAGAGAGATATATTAAACAAAATGAAATTTACCATTCAGGCATTCATATGAAATATCTAAATAAAGAAAGAAATTAGATTGACTCAAGAAAATAAAACTTACCACTATGTCTTGCATTTGATGAATCTAAACGATAAAAAGATAGATATATTAAACAAAATGAAACTTACCATTCTATCATTCATATGAAATATCTAAATAAAAAAGAAATTAGATTGATTCAAGAAAATAGAACTTACCATTGTATCGTTGGTATGATATATCTAAAAAAAGAATAGGTTTTTCAGAGAAGATAAAACTTAGGATTATGTCCTTCATTTGAGGAGTCTAAATGAAAAGGAAACAGATACATTTACCCAATTAAATGTAACTTACATTTGAATGGTTCGTATCATGAATCCAAAAGAAAGATGAAGTTAGACATGGACGATTTAGATGAATTCCAAACTAAGAATTGATTGAGAAACTAACCGTTAATTTAAGAAAAGGAGAAAAATGAACGCTGAGTTTTGTGATATTAATGAAAAATGGGTGCATGCGGCGTTAATATTACGTTTGATTTCTTAGTAATGATTTAGAGCTTGTTTAAAAATGAAGGGATTTGGTGCTTACATGGAGAGGGCGATGCTACTGGATTTAAAATATTTTTCTGCAATAGTACCTGGGTTGCGGATACAACCATTTTTGACAATGGAGCTGAAAATCTCTAAGTTCTACACCGCTAGTTAAGATTAGTAGAAAGCGGCCGTTCTGGCGAAATTGGTTCTTTCTATCTCTAAGTCTTGGGATTGAATAATAAACAGAAAGATAAAAATGAAATCTTATATTATATGCATGATTAAATGGTCGATTAAACGTTTTTATTAATGAATTAATTGTCAGCTGTGACTTTTTTACTATCATCATTTTGGAGAAGTGAAGCTGTCCTAATTTATGGTAATCAGGTCGTTTTCAGAAAATCATCAAACTAAATTCAAGTGAGTTGCACTGGAACGATGCTGGTAAAAGGAGTTCTGCAATTAAAAAAATAGCGCGAGATAGAACCATTCTGGACACTTGGAACCATTTTTTCTGCTCGCAATGGTTCTTTAAATATCTAGCACCTTTGATAGTTCAGAGACAATCAGATGGAATCCTAAATAGTTTAGCATGTTTGCTGAAATTCCCAATGGTTCCTTGTGATATGTTTGTTTTAAGAGAGTAGGGCAAATCAGAAACCAAATTCACACGGATTTTTGATATTGCAAAACTCATGTCCTTCGTTATGAAGAATATTTTAATATTAGATATCTTAGGTTGCTGAAGTGCATCGAAGTCATGAAGTCTTCATGTTTCTCAAAGTCAGTGTCGGAAGCTCAGCCCGAGGCACAAAGTCATAAACTCTTGAAGTCCTGCAATATCCTTGTCTTTCAAGCACCCAATGTTTTGAAGTCAGTTTGAGTCCTATGGTCATAGAGTCTCGATGATAGTCAAAGTCAGAGTGTTCGCTAGAGTCACAGTCTTGAAGTCTTCCAGAGTCTCTCAGTCATAGTATCGGAATAAGTCCGAGTTTAGATTCAGAGTCGTAGAATATTTATTCTTGTGGAAGTCAATATCCTATATACTGTCGAATTCGTAAATTCTGTATGTCTGTAGAAACCATATTCCTGAGATCAGTTGGAGTCGTGGGATCTTTCATTTCGTTACTATTCAAATTTTGTCTTCGTTTTTGAGTAAGTTTGAGAAAATTTTTGGGTATCAGGTACCGAAAGTATATGTTGAAGTATGCAGAAGTAAATATATCTTAATAAAAATTATACAAAGCGTTTTATTTAGTGTTCAGTTTTAAAAACAACATCTCTCATCATAATAAAATTTAAAAAGAATATGAATAAAAAAAAACTTGATTTTTTTTTGTACTAAAATAAAAACGGGATCCCTTCAAATAATTGAAGAAGTAGATACTCAGTGACTTAAAAAATCAAAAAAAATTCATCACTTTCGTGAAAATGATGTCAAAAACATGAAAATAATGCCATTTCTGATGCTGGAACGGACATATTCTTTGATTTTTTAAAAATCCATTGATTAAAAATAGCATTTTAATCAAAGCATACGATTAATTCCACTAAGAATCAAAATCATACGATCAATTTCATTAAAATATCAAAATCACGAAGTGAATTTGATGTTTTAATGAAATTCACTGCATGAGTTTGATTTTGTAATGAAATTCATCGTATGATTTTGATTTTTAATCAAATTCATTGCATGATTTTGATTAAAATGCTACTTTTAATCATAAATTTTTAAAAAGTTTAAAGAATATGTTCGTTTCATCATCAGAAATAGCATTATTTTCACGGAAGTGATGAATTTTTTTTGATTTTTTAAGTTACTGGATAGAGAGAGTTAAAAGTTATTTTTATTTGTGATTTGTAGCGTTTGAATGTTAATGACGCTTGGTTTGCTTTGAATTGGTGAGTTTTTTTCTTGGTGGAGTGTTTTCTTCTTCACCTAAATCTGTATTCTCTGGTAAATGATTAGCTTTTCTTTTTCGACAAGATTTTGGAGTAGATTTCATTAAAATTGTTTTTGATGTTGAAATGTTGATATTTATTTGTTGCTCATCGTTTTCTTCGTTGTCAATAACCAAATCATGGACACGGTCATCACGATCATCAGGAAAAAAATCTTTGTTGTTGTTTATTTCTTTAATTTGTTCGACAGATGATGGAGATTGATGTTGCAGTTGGATAGATGATTGGTATTGATGTTGAAGTTGAACAGATGATATGGGATTACATACAAGCTCAATAATATGCTCTTTAAAAATCTTACGAATATTGTTTGGCTGCTTTTGTTGATCGTTCATTAAATATGCGTAAAAAAATCGTGCTGCCACTCTATACGTATTAAATTTGAGATCCATCAACGAGTATAATCCAATGAGAATAGCAATTGATTCTTCAATTGATTTTGATGTGCAAATGAACGTCCAATCGAGATAAATGTTTAAATGATCATCCACTACTTGTATTGTTGGTAGAGGAGTAGCTGGTGTCTGAATAAAGAAAGAAACAATATGGTAAAGATCAAGGTATTAAATGTAATCCTCCGTTGCTAGCATAAGTTGTCTAATATTAAAAACCAGTACCACATAAAGGATTTAATACACTGATGACACATATGGATATGCATGAATAGGCACAATCGAAGTGGTGATATTCGCTTTTTTGACTGTTACGGATAGTATTGACGGATATTTGGACTGAGAAAATGGCTCAGTTGTGTCTGCTCATATGCAATGTACTTATTTTATTTGGGAGAGCGAGTGCTAACTATATCACTTACTTCTGGATAAAAACGAAAATAATGTTTCCAAGAGTCATTCAACATTCCACATAATATTTTGAAGCAACGAATAGCCCCATTATCTAGACGAAAGACGTGCGTATGCAACAAAAATCTAATTATCAAAATACCTGTTGGATATTGGTTATTTGTGCAAAGCTTTGTAGCGAGAAAGTCCATTTTTTCTTGAACAGAATTTTGTAAATCAATACCAGTTAACATTTTTACGTCTGAAAATATCTGAAAAGGAAACTGAAAGTCTCAGAATAGTAGTCTTGAAATAAATCATTACTCGAGATGGATCTGAATATGCAGGAAATTGTTTGATTATATCTTGTGTTGTATCGTTTCTTATGAATTCTTGACGATATTCATATGTTTGAGTCCAAAACTTGTTTAGCTCTTCTTCATCATATGAATTATTTTCAAAACTAATTGCAGTTGCTTCAGCTATTTTTTTCATTTCATTTGTGTAGTCAGATGAGCATGAAACGATTGGTATCTAAAATCGAGAATAAATTGCCTTTCGACTTATCTGATTATTATTTACTTTTTTTTGGTTTTTTCTTTCTGACATTTTTGTCATTGAATATTCTTTCAATTTTCTTCCTGAATTTTCATTCGAATATTTGTTCTTCATTTGCAACACTTCATCGTTTACCAAATTTTGTCGTTCTCGTTTAAATTTGGAAATTAACGATTCACGCCAAGAATTCTGTAATAAAGAATGTTCATAGTTTTGTAATAAATATTGATGACGTTCACTTACCATTTTTTTTGTATCATATTCCACACCTAAATGATTTAATAGACCATTAACAATAGTACTATATTGTGTTTTTGTTGGATAACTATAAAAAAAACACATATATATAATTAAGCTATTCATAATGTTATCCATTGTAAAACGCTTCAGCATTTTTAATTAGCTTCGATCAATTCAGCGTCATGGGAACCTGCGCCTTTTGTACTAATATAATTTCTTTTGCTCCTTTTACAATCGTTCTCACATGACGATGAAACTCATTTAGTGTATGGGAGAATAAGCTTCAATAAAAGATAAGAAAATTATACTCACATCAAATCATAATTTGTTTTTAAGTCGTAAAATATTGCATCGATCACAATAGATCTGAAATTGCATAATTTTTCAAATTTTTCCATTTCTTTGTTAGTAATTGCATGTTTGACTTGATCAGGTAAATCAGGTACTACATATGGATCTGGTAATAATTTTACAGATATTGAAGAATTTGTTGAGATTGGTGGTGTAACAGCTGTTAAATCTGCTGACAACTGAACGACATCATTATATTCACTTGTTTCTTGTACAATATCATTGACAACGTTTGCTGTTGTTTCGTGTGTTGTTGATGATGATGTTGGACTTTCTTTTATAGTCTTTGTCAAAAATAATTTTTCTCGTTCTGTTAAAAACAGTAACTGATTCTTGTACGACAATTTAAATGGTTTCAGAAGATCGAAGTCGTTCATATAAAATAATGTTTCACCATCGATTTGTTCCTCTGAAATATATTTAAAAGATAGTTAAAGAGTAGTTTTTAAATGAAAGTTTTTCAAAAGTAATAGAGCTACATGATAAAACATCATGAAAGTTAAAGTAAAAGAAAAAAAAATACTTCAACTTTTTCTTTTCTAAAAATCTTAATTTTCTTTTGTTAGTCTTGATGTTAAATTAACAACATAAAAATCGTCTATCTTGTATAGGTCTAGACCTTTATGATAGTGCTTTAAATCATTGGGTGTAACAATTTTCAGTTGATTGGACGACCTAACTTTGTAGCTCCACAAATTTGTATTAAAACCGTCTGTATGCAATAAGTCTACAACAAACAACCACTGTTGATTAGATTTAAATATGTGAAGTATTTGTAAAAATGATGGAATTTCCTCCACATATTCCAAATCATAGACATAAATAGCCAATTTTTTATAAATAACGTGATTGTGAATTAATTGAGAACATTCATGAATTGTTTGACCAGGTTGAATGAATTGTTTTCCGAATTGTTGAATGAGAAAGGCTTTGGTTGTTGAATTTATATGATGCATCTCAGCTTTTTTAATACCACTAGGTTCATCATATGCTTTCAAGAATTGATATTTAGATAGGAAAAAACAATGTCTTAATTGTTGTCGTTGAGCAAGTGTTTTTGGAATATTTTTGAAGTTGTAAGATTGAAGGGCAATTTTTTTAAAATAGGAGTGTGCATCCTCATATCTCATGCACCAGTATTTGATTGCTGGTCCATTTTCTTCTATTATTTTCCAGTACTCAGTCACGAAGTGTACTTTAGGTGTTATCTTTTCAGGCAGAAGCTCAACCATCATACTCTGAAAGCTAATAGCTAATGTTTCGATATATGGTAACCAACTCTTTCGTACAGGTAAAGCCAGTACCATGTCCAGCATTTCACGTAAAACCAAATAAATCTTGAATGTTTTTAAACGTGCAGTTATATCAGCAAAAACAATAGGAAATAAACGGAATAAACAATACTTTTGTGCTGCAGTCCCATTGATGCAATTTTTATGAAAGTGTTTTACTTGTATAGGTTGTGGTCTGTCCAACGAATCGAATGCACCATACGAAAAACTCTCAGTTCTTTCTTGTATACCAGCATATGTAATTAATTTTAAATTAGATGCTTCTTTTAGCATTGCTATCACGATCAAAGGACAAACACCTGCAATAAAAAAAAATGCGAAGATATAATCAAAATTTTATTTTTTAATAATTACCTTCGAAAAAGTCGTGCATTATATCACCGGGAAAACATTGTGTTGGATCAAAATTGATTAACTCGTCGAAGGGACTTGGTCCAACTACACCAAATACAGACTTTCTACTAGGAAGTTCGTTTAGTAGTTGTAAATAATATTGGTGTTTAACATTTACTCTAGGAATAATGTCAACATCAGCTAATGATACTAAACGATTTTCATACGAGATCAAACATCGCTGGCAAAAATGACCCGAGCTAAATGTTTCTTGAAAACCTGCTACTTCATGCGCTGCTAAGTTGTCAGCAGCTATTGTGGTAAATGTAAAGTAGATTTGACTGTTGAAAGTATTTATGATTAAACCAGTTGATTGTAATCCATTTAAATCGTTCACAATTAGAGCATAGAACTTTTTCATTTTTTCATTATTATTTAAATACTTCGTATAACAAATAGCTGCCAAATTTATACATTGTAATGTTGATCGAAATATATCTGGTATATCTTCCAAAAGAAAATAGACCATAGTAATATTATGAAGACCTTTTCTTGGCCCTATTGGATTGGTTACACCGATTCCATCAACGTATAATTGAATCAAGAATGATTTTTTATTAATTTTATTTCCTCTTATCCCATGCCGAAAAGAAAACATTAAGTCGGAATCAGCTTGCGTTATTTCATTTTGATCTTGAATATTATTTATAAGTAACGGTATCATTTCATCTTTTTCTAATATCTTTTTCAAGGAATCTTTAATTGATACATGATACGAATATTCTTTTTTTTCATCTTTTGATGAGATAAGGTTTTCAATAGGTGGTGTATAATCAAAGAAACTTTTGCAAGATTTAATAAATTGATATTCATTTTTTGTTGAGAAAGTAATTAATTCTTCAATTTTCTTGATGGTTTTTCTAATGCTGTTTGTAGATATCATTGTTGTTGATGATTGTTGTTCATTAATATTTTCTTCTTTTGCTTTTTCTTCTATAAGATCGATCGTCATATCAAATAAGTTCAGGATACTTGTTGTAATATTTTGAATTATCCCTTGTGGTAACATATGTTGTTCTCTCATTTCGAGTAAAAAGAGTGTGTACTGTTTTTGAATTGTCTTAAATGTAATTTTTTCATGTTGCTGAAAAACGGTGGAAGTAGATGCGGATGTTTGCCAATCATCATCAGCATCAATGTCACCATCTTCGTATATAAGATCTTGCATGTTATTCTCGATTGTAGTGTGATAAACAGCTGATGCTAAGGACTGGTCGATTGAAAAATTTTCAGCATTATTAATTACACTGTCTTCTTGTTCTTGGAATAGAGGATCAAGTAGATGTTTATGATGACGATAAATATGCACCTTGTACGAAGGAAACGTTTTGTACAGCGCACCACAGCTGTCTGACAAGTTACATATTAATCGAAAGTGGGGTTCACTTGCATGGTACAAGGTTATATGTCGAAAATAATCCGAAAATTTGTTAAACAAATTGAGCACAAAAAACCTCTACTTGACATATTTATAAATATTTCTATCTCAAAATAAAAGAAGACAAAAATCGTTGGTTTATTTGTAATTTTTTATCTATTATCTGAAATTATAAAATAAATTCGATCACCCAGTATGGGTACTAAAGTATTAGAAATATATCTTCCAGTAGACAAGCACTAATTAAAAAGTTCTTTTTTACCATTAAAGATCCAAGATAGAGAAATAAAAAGGTAAAAAAACGATGATCTGCTGATCATAAAAAAAATTCCTTAGGTATTTTACACAACTTACTTTTAAAATCATTAACTATATCATCATTCGAAATAAAATTGTGTAACCAAACTGAAACATCGTCTACATTCCATGTTAATGGATCCGAAGTATTTATCTATAATAAAAAAAAGACACTCCTTAGAATTTTTAATATACTGAGCACATATATCTTAGTTGGGATAACAATATCGGAACGCTTAAAGAACTACTTTTATCTCTTCTTGTCACGAACCGAATTCAAAAAATCTTTGTGTCCCGATGCTTTTGCCTGACCTGAGTATTCCTTGGATAAAAAATATATTGAGAGAAAAAGAAGAAATTGTCATAAATCATCGGAATTTCGTTGCACAACTTGCAGATGAAGGAAAAGTATTTTAGACTGTTTTGTGAAAGCATAGAGGTATTTGTGAGAAGTTGCATAAATTACTCAGCTATATGAGAATAAACATGGAAACGACTAGAGTAAAATACGACAAATTTTTATAAATATATGTTTATTTTTTTCTTTCCAGAAGTTTAATCTGAATGATCTAAGTTAAGATATTTACATATTATGCGATAGGCTAGCTAACAGCCAATCATCTTCAGATAACGATTCATTTTAGTACAGTTAAAGTAAACAATACTAAAACGCATATGCATTATGAAAAATCTGTTTATTAGAGAGGCGCTTTCCTTTATTTCTATTTGAAATACAAAGTAAGCATATTAAGACAGAAAAAGAACGCAAAGAAAATACAATCATAAACCGATCAATCACTCTTCATATGAACATATTTCAACAAATTTTTCTTTCTTTTACATAATAACAATGTCTGTTTCAGTCTCCTAGAAATGAAAATATCATCATGGTTTTAATCGTTCGTCATCTGTCAACTTTTTGTATAAATCAATTAAAAGAATCTTTAAACGTCGGAAACTTCTCTGTGCTTCATTGCAATGTGTTTTCAAAGATATTAATATTTGGACACTGGACGAAATATAAATGAATTAAGAAAGAGAAAGGCGAAATTCTTTGAACGACATCGTCGTTTAGCGCAGCTCTTCGATTCTCCATGCAAAATTTGTTACTTAATCCATTCACATGTGCAGGCAATCATGAACGTAAAAACAAGAAGAGATTCTCTCGAAAATAAAGCACTTTTTTGGATCCTAAGAATTCTAAAGTTTTTAAAAAACAGCTTCACATACACTAAAGAAGGTTTCTATTTTGTGTGCCGAGAAACTCCTAAACCTGCAAACGATATGAGGGGAACGCAAAAATCAAATGGAATTCATTTGGATGCTATTCAAGTTTTCTGTATAGTGAATGGGTTTCTGAGATTCTCTTTTCGGAAACTCAAAGCTCTCTAAAAATTCGGAAACCTTTTAGGGTTTCAGAGATATGTTCGAAAACCGTGCTCGACTTCTAGAAAACGCTATCATCGTTTCCGTTGTTCGAAAACTCAAAAAGGTTTTTGATAAAAAAAAAAGGAAAACGCAAAGGTAGCCGAGGATACGCCTAAGGTTTCTGAGAAAGTTTTCAAATCAGCAACGGTTTCTGAGGAAACCCTCCGGTTCCCGAAAATAGTATCAGAGTATCTGAAAATACGGTTGAGGGTTTTCGAGTTTGATTTCTCAAAAACCCAATGGTTTCAGAAGTCCCGGAAACCCAGAAGGCTTCTTCAGAAACTGTACGTGGGCCCGGAAACCTTTTCGGATACGTTTATAGGTTCCCGAAAGGGTTTCCGAAGGTGTCTCGGTTTTTGCAAAAACCTTTTTTTTTAGAGTGTAGAAAAGTATGTAAAAGTTTGAATTAATAATGTTATAAAAACTTTTAAGAAAAACAAAAAGTACATTTATTACTGCTAAAACCGACATATTTTCTTTTATAATATTGAAAAACGTGGTTTTTTCATCTTTCTCTGTTTCGCATTTTGTCAGATCAAAAAAGCGAGAGCTCTGATCTAGTGTATCTTGTAGAGCAATCGGTTCTCGACAAAATCCTATATTTGGCTATGCTCATGAATTCAATTTTTACGAATATTTTTTAAACACAACAATGTGTACTATAATTCAGCCAATACGTTACATACATGAAAGGATAATATTGCCGAAATGTTTACAAAACCGCAATATTTTGTACTCAAAATGTAGCCAAGACCAGGAGATATTAGAATATATATAATAGTTAATACTATATGTGTTCAATTTGAAAGACTCCAGTGTAAGATTATTTTCAATAAAATTCCAATTTTCGTGATTATATATAAAAATCATAGAAAATGTCATACTCGATATGTCCCTATTTATTAATGAAATTAAAAAAGAAAACTGGTCTTGGAGATTTTAATAGTTCAGTATCGTCTACAAATCCTGAAAGTTTCATGCAATTCAAAAATATTTGTGGATTTTTTAGTTGAGATCTCATCGAAATACTCTATGGACAAATTTTCATTCGTTCTCCAAATCCGAGCTTCAAATATTGGCTAACTCAATTACTCATCCTCGAATGGAAGCTTCGTATTATGTTAAATGAATTTATTATGTTCACCAAAAGTTAGCCAGATTTGAGTAGTTGATGACGATCTAAATTAAACATTTCTGACTTTGAGATTTTGAGTTCACTTTTTTGAACTAGCTTTAACTAACTCTCATTGAATTCCAATAGTCGGTAGTATGAGATTCATGCTTTCATAAAAAGAATATCAGAAAAGATTCAGTTCTGTTGCCAAGGTCTTGCTGATTACTAGCATCATGCAATTGCCATAACATTTAAATATTAAGAAATCTCAGATAGGATATCTAATATAAAAATCGATTGTTTTGGTTCATCTTATCTTTCTTTCTGTAGTAGCATTCTTTTTCGAATTTAGACGCTTTTCAGCTGTGTTAAATAGCTAATTATTTCAAATAAGAATAGATCGAACCGAACAATTGTAAAGATATCATATCATTATTGAATAAAAACAGCGAAATCACAGCTAGATGTTGCACAAAGTTACTTTCTGTGAGTTCCTAGTCGAAGCTTTTTGCAAAAGAAGCGCCATTTGCTCGTGATGTTAGCACATGAAACGCGATCGACGAAACTAAAAATCTTCATATTAGAAACTCCAAGAAATATGAGTTTCCCAATGTATGTCTTCCTAGAACTGTCGTAATAGACTCCTTCTCGAAAGAGCTGATTGGTTAATTCACGAATAAGACGTATGGACTTTTCCATATCAAATCAATAATTGCAAGCATCGGGTACTCGACCCGACTCATCCCGTAGAAAAAACTACGACTGGCTTCAACAATACTACTCATTCATCGGATCAGATACGTTAACAAGCACGTAAATCCACTCATATCAAAACGCTAAGCGAAACGAATAATCATCGAACTCGAGATGCATAGCAAACCGCACCAACATACACACCTTCGCCTACATTCCCATTCAAACACATATTATACATCAACAACCATACCATCAACTCTCCTCTGAAATCACAAAATCCATCAATAATGACCGACCCACCCAACTAGAGGCTGCCAACGACAATGATTACACGAGCTAATCCAAGCACACAATTCAATTCAGGCAATTCAATCATGAAAGAAATAATCAAGGATCTAACAACTCGAAGAAATCCCACGATTCCAGCCAAGTCACTTATGTGAAGGCCCCACAAGGGTTCAAAACAGAGAACTTCGAAGATTAGAACTCATTAATGACGGGCATCCATGATCAGACAAGCTAGAAAGAAAAGAAGTCCAAGCACTCCACACTATTAAATTATGTAAGGCTTCTCGCAAAACTGACAAATCTAAGAATTTCAAGAGTTCTCAAACATGTATGAATATCACCTCCAAAGGCCAATGGAAGGAGTCCAAGAACTACATGCGTTCCAAGGCATATTGGATCATCTCGCATGATCATATAGCAGAGAAATGAAATAATTCTCAGTCGTCCCACATATTTTCGGAAACCAAGAGTAGAAAGCGAGTGAAAAAATCTAATAATTTCAAACCAATCCGACCTTTAGGAATCTTGAGCATAATGAGGAAAGTAAGCACTCAAACGATTCCAAGCCTTCCAATACATTTAGATCACTAACCACCCATAGAAATCTATGAAATTCACTAACTCAAAGGCATAGAATCCATTCGAGACAGTGCCAGATCATTGGAGCAGTAAAAAATGCAAGAAGTTCAAGATTCCCTATTCATAAGGGAACACCAAGCATTATATGCAAGCTATGAAGTCCAAGAACACGAAGCGTTCCGTTGGATATTTCACTCAGCACGATGCCAGAAAAGTTGAGGCATCGAAAAATTCAAACCCTTCCATGGAATTTCCGTAAGTCAAAAATACCGTCTAAGCGATGAGATCAAGAAATTGCAAAGATTCCACTGACTATCCAGCACTCAAAGATGGAACCGATCTGAATTTTTGACGAACAATACTGATAGCGATTCTATCTCTGTCAGCACTTACGACAGTCAAGAATGGTTGAAGACATACGAAATCAAAGAATTCCAAAGAATTCCAGGATTACATTGCACTGTGAACACTTGATAATGGTTGGGAAGCTAAAGAATCCACGGATTACAAGGATTTCCTGCAACTTGCGCCAGTGAAGCATCCCCGGAAACTCAAGAAATCCAAGGATTCCATGGCCCTTGGGTCAGCTAAGAATGGTCGGAAAGCTAAGAAATTCAAGGATTCTACTGCATTTGCGACACTCGCAGATGGTTATGAAACTGGTATGAGGATTCCATAGCATCTGCAACGGTTAAGAATGGTGAGCAGGAGAAGAAATCAAAGGTTTCCAGCGATTCTAAGAATTCATTTGTCCTTGGAACACTCAAGAATGGTGATGAAGCGAAGAAATTCAATGATACAGCGCCACATAAGGCAGTCAAGTATGGTCTGAAAGTTAAAACATCCGAGGATTGCACCACACTTTGGATAGTCAAGACAGGTCGGGACGCAAAGAAATCCAAGAATACCAAGAATTCCGTGCAGCTTGTGGTAGCCCACGATGAACTGAAAGCTAAGGAATCGAAGCCATTCAATGGTTCCATAGCACTTCTGATACTTCAGAATCCAAATGAAGCTAATGGATACAACATTTCTAAGGATTCCTTAGCACTTTGAATACTCAGAATGGTTGGGAAACTTAAGAAATTCAACAATTTCTTACCACTTGAGACACTCAAGGGTGATCGAGAGGTTAGGGAACAAACGATCACAATTATTCTCCACCATCTGCGGCTAGTAAAGATGCTGGGAAGCTAAAGACTCCAAGGAATCCAAGGATTCCATACCACTTGCGAGACTCGAGAATGGTCGGAGACATAAGCAACTCGAGGAAATCAAAGATTTCATAGCACTTGGGACAGTTATGAATGGCCAGACAATCAGTAATCCAATAATTCCTAGCATTTCACATCCTTGGAACCATCGAACATGGTCGGAAAGCTAAGGAATCCAAGTTTCCAAGGATTTCCGAACACTTTCAACAGTCTATGTGTTGGAGAAAAGAAGGAATCCAATGATTCGAAGGATTCCCTATCTCTTGCAACAGTCAGAAATGTTGGAAAGGTTAAGGAATCCAAGGATTCCAACAATACCATAGCACTTGGAACAGTAAAGAACGGTGGGGAAGCTAAGAAATCTAAGGAATCCCGAAAACTTTCTGAAGTCAGAAGTTGTGGAAAAGCTAACCAACCGAAGGATTCCAAGGATGCCATAACACTTAGGATAGTGAGGAATGGTGGGAAAGCTAAGGAACCCAAGGATTTCAAGGATTGCCTAGCGCTCTGAACAGTCAAGAGTTATAGGAAACCAAAGAAATACTAGGATCCAAGGATTCATTGGCACTTTAACCGATCAGGATTGGTGGTAAAGTGAAGAAATCCAAGAATCTGAAGGATTTCATCACATTTTGTTCGGTTAAACTTAATACAAAAACTAAGGATTTTCAGAGAACCATTGGTTTCGCAGACGTTGACGTGTTGCAGAAATCATCAGAAACCCGAAAAAACCAAGTTTCTTAATCACTTTGATTGTATTTTAATGAATAGTATATATCGAAATTTTTCAAGGTTTCCAAGATTTCAGAAACCTTGCGTACCAGCAGTGTAGGGTCATACCGGGTTTAGTCAGATATTTTGTTGATGTTGTAAGTGGATTGTGCTAGAATTTTCAAGGAATTTAAGGATTCCTTGACATTTTCAATGGTGGAAACTGTTTTCAGAGTGATCGTGTTCGAGGGTTCGAAGGTTTCTCATACATTTCGGAAGTGGCGCTGCCAATGCAAGAAACGAAGATTTTCAGAGAACCTATAGTTTTTTGAGCGTTGGACAGTATCAGGAACATCTGAATATAAACTTTCGTAATGACTTTGATTCATTTTTAATGAACAGGATATGTTGAAATTTTTCAAGGTTTCTAAGATTTCGGATTCCTTGCATACAAATGGCGTTGGGTCTTCACTGAATTTGGTTAGATATTTTGTTCGTTATTAGTAGAGTACATTTTATTATAATTTTTCAAGGATTCCTAGAATTTCGATAGGGCATCCATTTGTATATTGTCTGGAGCGTATACCACACAAAAAAAACGGTTTTCTTTGGCTTTCTAGTACTTCACTTCTTGGATTCTATATTGAATTTTTATACGCGATGATTTCTCCAATCGACGACACACAGAGATTGCCATGTCAATCGAATGACAAATCGATGGGCTCATTGAGTTGGTTGAATTGTCCTACTCTATCGTTTCTACCAACAATGACACTTCCCTGTGTCGCTCCTTTGGGCCAATCCATGATTTGATCATTCCTTGTATCAGGCACATAGACAGTGTCCAATTAATCGACAACCACTCCTTTTGAACATGACAATTGTGTAAAATCATTTCCTTCTCCTTGACTATCAGTCATGGCATTGCCTTTCTTTTACATCTTCCATCCATTTCGTCATATGATCATTTCCCGAATCAGACACGTACACTGAATGATTTCGATCGACGAATACGTGTTGTGGGCAAGGCAGTTGATCAAGACGATTTGGGTGTGAATGTGTTATTCTCAACCCAGTGCCCACACTCACACACCCACACCGTCAGTAGAGTAGTTTACCTATATTATTCAACAGAACAACGTGATCATCATTGAAATTGATCGATGTTCAATTGTGCGTGGATTAGCGGGTGTGGTGAAGAATCTCATCCACCATTCGGCATCCATACAAACATCCTTCAATGAACATAACTGCAGGTTGAACTTTTAATTTCCTACACCCAAGAAACTATCGTTTCTCTTGCACATACTGACATTATGGTATTGATAATCATCATTAATAAGCAAGGAATGTAACTAATGGATAATAGTGATTTGATGATATTCATAGAGTCACACTGAATTAGGTTACTATGAAGCAAGAGTTGATCTCTAACTGCATACAATACGATTGCATTCCACGAGACAATGGCTCTTAAAAAGTTCGATAAACTTGAATATTCGACGTAATAATCAATTTCATCGTTGCGATAGGTTTCATCATGACACTTGTCACTGATACAAAAAAAACATTTTTGTGGTATGCGAGTATGGATCTAGACACTTTTCTACTACAGTCAGATCAATACTGGCAGACAATCATTCATACTCTCAACCATACACTAAGGCTTACATCATCAGGAATCCACAACCAAATCCAAACCTAACTCATCCTCTTTCTCCACTCATCTTTCACACTTACAAACATTTGAATATTTCAACTATGATTCTATTAAATATAAGAGCATACGAAATAAGTAAGTGATAGAAAAATATAAAGTACAAGATAAAATTATTAACAAGTCTGCAAGAGGATATTTAAACTGTCAGTACCATTATTGGCGACGACAAAATCTAGTTTTTTATCATTATTGAAATCTCCAATGGCAATCGAGAATGGATTGGAACCATAGTCCAACTGAACTAGCATGATGCTTTCGAAAGTGCCGTCTCCATGTCCAACAAGTACACCTAGATAATTGGCATCATAATTCGCGACGACAATGTCTTGCATAGAATCGTTATTAACGTCATTTACAGCTAAAGAATATCGAGACGAACTTGAGCTTGTTGAATACATCATTTGATTTCCAAAAGAACCATTCCCATATCCAAGAATAATACCAACACTGTCCGACTTACAACTAACAAAGACGATATCCACTCGACTATCATTGTTGAAATCACCGATAGCCATAGAGCATGGAGATAAATATGAGTGTGTTGAATATGTCATTTGATTTGAAAAAGAGATATTTACATATCCAAGAAAAATACCAATATTGTGGATGCCTGAATTAACGACGCCAATATCCATCAGACCATCACTGTTGAAATCACTAATCACTAAGGACTGTGGTGCGGAACCATTTCCAGTTAAGAGCGTCATTTGCTTTACAAAAACTATATTGTCACAGCCAAGAAGAACACTTACATCACTGCTATCCGAATTGGCAACAACGATATCAAGTCGAGTGTCGTTGTTGATATCACCAATAGCTACAGATCGTGGATTAAGGCCAACTGAATACTTTTTTTGAGTTTCAAAAGAACCGTTTCCATATCCAAGAAGGACACTTACATCATTGCTAGCGTAATTGGCGACAACGATATCTAGTCGAGTGTCATTGTTGACATCACCAATAGATACAGATCGTGGATAAGTGCCAACTGAATATCTTGTTTCAGTTTCAAAAGAACCATTCCCATATCCAAGAAGGACACTCACATCATTGTTACCCGAATTGGCGACAACGATATCTAGTCGAGTGTCGTTGTTGACATCACCAATAGCTACAGATTGTGGAGAAGAGCCAACTAAATACCTTGTTTGAGTTTCAAAAGAACCATTTCCATATCCAAGAAGAACATTTACATCATTGCTACCCATATTGGCGACAACGATATCTAGTCGAGTGTCATTGTTGACATCACCAATAGCTACAAAAAATGGACTAGAGCCAACTGAATACCTTGTTTGATTTTCAAAAGAACCGTTTCCATATCCAAGAAGGACACTCACATCATTGCTATCTGCATTGACGACAACGATATCTAGTCGAGTATCACTGTTGACATCACCAATAGATACAGATGATGGAGAAGAGCCAGCTGAATACTTTGTTTGATTTTCAAAAGAACCATTCCCATATCCAAGAAGGACACTCACATCATTGCTATCCCCATTGGCGACAACGATATCTAGTCGAGTGTCGTTGTTGACATCACCAATAGCTACAGATCGTGGATAAGAGCCAACTGAATACTTTCTTTGATTTTCAAAAGAACCGTTTCCATGTCCAAGAAGGATACTCACATCATTGCTCAACCCATTGGCGACAATGATATCTAGTCGAGTGTCATTGTTGACATCACCAATAGCTACAGATTGTGGATTAGAGCCAACTGAATACCTTTTTTGAGTTTCAAAAGAACCATGATTATACGCAACAAAAATATCCACATGATCACGTCCATCGTAAGTGACAGCGATCTCCGATCGTGTGTCATTATTAAAATCACCAGAAGCCATAACTAACGGAGGTGTATCAAAGCCAATTTCATAACTTATTTGAATTGCAAATTTTCCCTGTCCATTTCCAAGCATCATATCTACATGCTTTGTACCATGATTGGCCACAGCAATATCCACTTCACGGTCACCATTGAAGTCCCCAACTGCGATAGAAATCGGATGAGAATTCATGCCAGTGCTGAGCATCATTTGGTTTTCAAAACTACCATTCCCATATCCAAAAAGGACGCCGACATTATTAGTGCCATAATTAGCTAAGACGATATCCAGATTAGTGTCATTGTTCAAATCACCAATGACTACACATCGTAGGCTAGAACCACCACCAGGTGCCAAGCTCATTTCATATGTAATTGCTCCTCTGTTATATTGCAGCAGGACACTCACATCATTGCTAACCACATTGGCAACAACGATATCTAGTCGAATGTCGTTATTGACATCACCAATAGATACAGATAGTGGATTAGAGCCAACTGAATACTTTATTTGATTTTCAAAAGAACCATTCCCATATCCAAGAAGGATACTCACATCATTGCTATAGTAATTGGCGACAACGATATCTAGTCGAGTGTCGTTGTTGACATCACCAATAGCTACAAATAATGGATAAGAGCCAACTGAATACGTTGTTTGAGTTTCAAAAGAACCATTCCCATATCCAAGAAGAACACTCACATCATTCCTACCCCCATTGGCGACAACGATATCTAGGCGAGTGTCATTGTTGACATCACCAATAGCTACAGATCGTGGATAAAAGCCAACTAAATAACTTTTTTGAGTTCCAAAAGAACCATTCCCATATCCAAGAAGGATACTCACATCATTGCTCAACCAATTGGCAACAACGATATCTAGTCGAGTGTCATTGTTGACATCACCAATAGCTACAGATGTTGGATTAGAGCCAACTGAATATCTTGTTTGATTTTCAAAAGAACCGTTTCCATATCCAAGAAGGACACTCACATCATTGCTACCCACATTGGCAACAACGATATCCAATCGAGTGTCGTTGTTGACATCACCAATAGCTACAAATAATGGATAAGAGCCAACTGAATACGTTGTTTGATTTTCAAAAGAACCATCTCCATATCCAAGAAGGATACTCACATCATTGCTATCCGAATTGGCGACAACGATATCTAGTCGAGTGTCATTGTTGACATCACCAATAGCTACAGAGTATAGATAAGCGCCAACTGAATACCTTTTTTGATTTTCAAAAGAACCATTTCCATATCCAAGAAGGACACTCACATCATTGCTACCTGAATTGGCGACAACGATATCTAGTCGAGTGTCGTTATTGACATCACCAATAGCTACAGATGATGGACGAAAGCCAGCTGAATAGCTTGTTTGATTTTGAAAGCCTTCGTAACGTCCAACAAGAATATCAATGGCACCAGTATCATTGTTTACAACGACAATATCTAATCGATGGTCCTTGTTGAAATCACCTACGGCAACTGAAATTGAAGAAGAAAATCCGGTTGGATACATAATTGAATTTGCAAATTTGCCGTTCCCATATCCAAGCAGTATGGCAATATTGTCAGCGCCTTTATTCGTGGTAATTATGTCCAATCGATTATCTTGATTGAAGTCTACTACCGAAATGGCAATTGGAGAAGCAGAATTGATGGAATACTTGACTTGATTAGCGAAAGTTTCATTACCATTATTTAGGAGCACACCTACTTCATGACTTCCAGAATTAGCGATAGCAATATCGAGAAAGTTGTCTGCATTGAAATCACCAATGGCAATGGAGTATGGTTGAGAGCCAATGCCAGTTGAGATGATAATTTGCTTTGCAAAACTACTGTTGCTATTTCCAAAAAGTATCACAATATTGTCAGTACCATAATTGGCAATGGCAAGGTCTAAATAGTTGTCATTATTGAAATCTCCATCAGCTATTGAGGACGGAAAAGAATCGTAACCTGTCGGATATGTAATTGGAAGCGAAAAACTTCCATTTCCATATTGATAGAGTATACTGATACTGTGGCTTCCGTAATTGGCTATGGCAATATCAAGTAGTGTGTCATTGTTGAAATGAGCACCGATAATCGCTATTGGACGAGAGGAGCCTGTTGAAAGTTCTGTTTGATTTGCGAAAGATCCATCGCCAAATCCATGAAAGATAACGATATTATTAGTGCCAAAATTTGCTACTGCAATATCCAAGTAAGAATCGTTGTTGAAATAACCAACTGTGACCATGTAAGGACTTGAGTAGGAACCAGTTGAATATGGAATTGGACTTTTAAAAGTGCCATTACCATATCCAAGATAAATAGTTATCGTGTTAGCTATATGATGAGCAATAACCATATCCAAACATG